TGGTTTGTTCATCTCTGTTTTAAACTGGTCCATCTTCTCTGCATTTTGATCCCTCTGTCCTTGTCTTTAACATTGTCACCGTTTTTCTTTCCAATCGTCGTCATAGTCTAAATATATTTCATAATGAGTCACAGCTCTCTTTTCTCAAGCCTTCACATCAGCACCTTGTACCTGAACTTTGGCCAGCACTGTCTCTTACTAATCCTTGTCATTTCTTATAAAAGATGTGTGCGTGGCTGTGGCTCTTTCCTCTTTGTTTCTCTACTGTCACCTGCTGCTGTGACTGAGAGAACATGAAGGGCAGCAGGGACAACAGTGTCACTCAAGTCCAGTGGCGAGCCGTGAGCTTTATACCTAGGCCCTCTGACCCCCACCCCTTCCCTCGAAAAAAAGAAAAAAAAATTGTTATTACGTCACAGCGTATACTTCAGCGGAATATCAAAACAACGGCCCAGGGTGCAAAACGCATCAATGACAGCGACCCTCTACCACACAAAATAACACCTGTGAACCCAATTTGTGTTCTTTGACATTGAAAATGATATTGCATTGTGTTTGTTACTTTCGTTGCAGTTGTATGTCTTAAGTGTAATTTGGCATGCTTTTATTTTGAAGGCGAGTTCACGCTGTTGACAGGAAGTTGTTGTTGCTATGGAAACAAGAAAAGTTTCACAGCGGGCGGAACTTGTCATCTAGTCCGCGATAATAAAACCCACCCATTTAGAGGGAAGATATGATTGGTCAATTGTACTGTCATTTGACATTACTCTCTCGTTCAGTTACTATAGCGGGCCCTCTGTGAATCGCAGAGAGGGCCAGACGAGCTTCTTTCATGTAACCCTTCACATTCAAACAGAGACTGAACAGGCAGATTCGAAGGATTTATTTCTTTGGAAATGTTATTTTATTAAATCAAGTTTTTTTTTCGGTAAAACTAATGAAAAATATAACAAAAATAATATTAAAAAAAATATATATTTAAAAAAAATATATATTTTTTTAATGTTTTTAAATATTATTTTTTGGAATATCTTAGGCCCTCACAGAGGGCCTAGAGGGCCCTGACGGCTCGCCACTGCTCAAGTCTCTCGCCTTAGTGAGTCATGTCACTGTAACAAGAGCTCATTCAGGGGATTCAGTGTGGATCACTGTGGAATTTACATTTTACGGTTTATTTAAGAGCCAAGTTTATTTTCCATCTATTTGTTGGATTTGAGACAGGGGCTGCAATGATTCTGTTACAATTAGTAAATGTATCGATTTATTCAGCCATGCTGAAGGAATGTGGATCTAGGGATGGCAATACCGGTATTGGGTGTTTTATTGCTTTTATACCATTTCATGTTCATATTTGCCTCTACTGTGACATGTTTTCATGCTTTAATGTTCACAAAGCTCTTTATTTTTCTCATACTGCCTGTGCTGCAGCACCTCTTTTCACCCTCTGTCTGAAACCAGAGCCCAGTCTGCTCTGATTGGTTAGCTGGCCGGCTCTGTTGTGATTGGTCAACCTTTTAGAAATGTGTCAGAAATGTCCACCCCTTAGCTTATCACTTACAATGTATTGTAGCGCTAGCCAATAGAAGCGCAAGTGTTACATACTGATGTCATTATGTTACCGAGGCCTTTCCAGCAGGGGTCGGGATTTAGCCTCTGTCGACCATTTACATGCCCAAAAACCTATATACCGGACTTCAGGAAAGGGAAAACCTCAAAAAGCATAATATGGCCTCACAGTGCCCACACACATGGAGCAAACAAAGATAGCTGCTGCAGCTTTCTGGAGCTCATTATGCAGAGCCTGGTGAGGAGCTGGGAGCACCTGGGAGAGGCAGCACCTGGAGGGAGACAATCAGTGAGAGGGAGAGAAAGCTCAATTCCAAACAAGCAAGTACAGGAGGGAGTGAAAGAAGCGTACAAAGCAGAAAGCACAGAGGGAATGATTGTAGAGTTATTTAAACTACATGTGTGTCACCTCTCTTCTTATTTTCCTCTGCTACTTTTTAACCTCTCTTTTCGTAGATTTTACTTCCATCCTTTTGTGCAGTCTTGTCGTTTCCCCCTTTTGACCCTCTTAGTTGCCTTCCTTGTTCTTGTTCTATGTCTCTTTTTCATGTTTTTTTCTTACCCGATGCTTTCCTCATCTTGTCTTTTGTAGCTTTTTCAGGCATATTACTTTCCTTGTTCCGCCCTCTCCTATCCACCTCACTTTGTTTCTTTCTTTTCTTCTCCTCCTCCATAATTATATCCTCCTTTTTTCTTGCCTTCTCTGACTCCACCCACCCTTTCCTTCTGTTCTGCTATTTTTCTCGAAAAGGTACATCCGTAAATCACAGTCATTTTGTGCCATTACGATAATTACCATAAACAAACAAGACCATTACGGTAAGATTTGCATCTCTTACCGGCCTCCACAAAACATTTTGTATTATGTGATGCCGGTGGAGGGGCTGTTATACAATGTGCCTGACTGAAAAGGATGCTTTTCTTGTAGCCTAAATTGAACCAAAGCGTGAATAGTAGCTTCAGGTAATAGCAGATGTTAGAGAGAGTGATGGAGAAAATTACCTTCAAGACGTTTATCCTTTCAATATCTTCCCAATGGGAAACATTATTACACGTTATTTGAGTTCACATTGGAAAAAATGATTATAAGTAGCCTATACTTCAGAAATTAAAGGGAAGCTACACCACTGACCTTTCCTCCAACCCACCCACCTGGCTGCCTTTGGACATTGTGAAGAATTGATGTCGGATTTTTACACCTGTTTTATTGGAGCAATTTTATTTGACACTGAATTTTATTGGAGTAAATCAATATTGGACTTCTTTTGACAATATTGATTAACTTAGTATTGAATCTTGTTTTTCCCCCTTTTTTTTAATTAGCAAAACAGCTTTATTTGTTCAAAGCCATGCATATAAAGTTTGCATTGCTATGGTAAATTACACGCATTCAATCGATGATGCAAAGAACTGACTGCAGGGGCTGGGTTCAAACCCCTTACCTTCCGATTGTTAGACCACACAACCTCACAGCCACTGTTCTTTGTATATCACCCCTCAAGTAACAAACAGACACGATCCAGATCTCTATTGACTCAATCAGCTACCTTAACCTCCTTTGTACGCATTTCTTGCAGTGAAAAACCGCCATTTCTATGGTTAACTCCTCTGCTAGCTTGTGCCGCTACATACATCTGTAATCTGAGTGTGTGTGCGTTCAAAGGTCAGTGGGAACTTGGTAATAGTCAAAATCATTTGAACGCTCTGCAATTGGACAAATTCGAGTGGTCCGTGACCCCGAGGGTAGCACTTCCACCTAGTCGGGCAGGACCGCTATATCCATAGAAACACAGTGGCAACATCAGGGCAGAGCCGTTTGACCGCGTATCATGTGAATGCAGCTTAAGACTCAACACTGAGCATTGGTGTGCTTTTAAAGGGCACCTATTGTGCAAAATTCACTTTTTGATGTCTTTTATACATAAATATGTGTCCCCGGTGTGTAAGGAGAAGGAGACTCACAACGTGTCAAAAGTAAAACCCTCTCTCTTTTCCTCCTCACCCCACTAAAAACGGGTGTACAACGGAGCTGATCCAGATTTGCTGTGGTCATGACGACATTACCATAATGTGGGCTGGCTCTACGCCCACAGCCCTATCAGAAACGTCGCTATCAGAAACAATGCACGACGTGTTTTGGACGTAATATGGTCTTTGTTTACATTAGCAACCATTGCTAACACTCAGAGCTAACCTTTTCTGGAGAGAGTATGTGTTAAAAAGCAGGAAATAAAAAAAGGAACTCACCTTGTAGTAAACCCGCAAGAGAAAAAGCATTTGAGCTCCATACTGTTTCAGAAATAATCCTTGATGTGGTTTGGTACATACGGCATGGCTGATCTGTTTGGTATTTTGAGCAAAACACATGTTTTTATATATCTGAGACCTATATTATAGGCCTAAAAATATTATAATAGGAGACCTTTAGAGAAAAAACACAAGAAATAAATGCATTTTTGAAAATACAGTTATTGCTCCCAATTTGTGATATATTTTTCATAGCTTGGCTAACGTGCTTATTCATGACTTGCATCTTTTCGTGTCTCTGAAATTGGGACAAAGATCCTTAGGCACTCGTGCCTCTGTTCCCTATGGTTTTATATCCATAAACATATCTGCTTGTGTCCACCTGTGTGTTTGTAAGAAGATGGAGTGAGGGGTGAGGCTGCTAGGAAGAGAAGGATGGGCACTGACTTATAAACTTGTTTTCATCCACACACATACACACACACACACACACACACACACACACACACACACACACACACACACACACACACACACACACGCACACACACACACACACACACACACTTGTTTTCTTCACTTCACCCCAGGGAAGATGGGAGGCTTTCAAGGCGACTGTGGAGCCTTCAGTCAAGCAGAAAACAGTTTTTTTTTACTGGGCATATCCCAACCTGAAGCTCTTTTGTGTGCATGTGTGTATTTTTGGATTAGTGTGTGTTAGTGCTTGAAAAAGAAACAAACAAAAAGACGGAGAAAACTCAATAAAGGCTTTTATTAAACAAGAAAGGGCACATAATGGACATTCCAATTCCGTTAATCAACTGCAGCGCCACACTACATCCATCATTTGTCTTTTGGCTAAATAATAACATCCAATGCATTATGATAGATAATGTGCAGTTCATAAAGTGGCCAAAATGCCACAGAGATACAAGGGTGAATAACGATCCCCTCTCGAATAACAGATGTCTATTATCAGACTGCAGAGAGCCATTTTGTCCTGATAAGAGACTGATAAGAGACTGATAAGAGGCTCTTAAGCCTTTGAAACTCACCCTCAGTCATGTCAATTTGTCGATTTTGGCCTTTTTCCTGTCAATGTTCTTTTTATCTCTCTTTATTGTCATCCATTTAGTGACAAATTGCTTCATGTCGCTCTCTTTTTCCCTGTCTATTTCTCTTCGCAGGGAGATGAAGTACTGACTGTCATTAAAACTAAGGCTCAGTGGCCGGCATGGCAGCCGCTCAACCTGTAAGTATCACTCAATGTCAGTTTCACTAAATGTAAAGAGTACTCTCGTAAGAGATATAATTGAAAGTTTAAAGGGGCTTATTAAGCTTTTTGGGGTTTTTCCTTTCCTGTACTGTGTTATATAAGTTTTTGGATTATTGTGCATGTAAATGGTCTGCAAAGGCTAAAATCCCAAAGTTCACTCCAGAGGGAGTTTTTGTCGCCCACTCTCCCTCTGCCGGAAACGCCTCCATTCGACTCCTTTGTTTACTTCCTTGAGCAAATTAGGACGGCCAAATCACTATGTAACACTCGAGCCTCTATTGACTAGCGCTCCTACACATTGTACGTGATAGGCTAAGGGGCGGGACATCTGTAAGTGGTTGACCAATTACAATACAGCCGGCCAGCTAACCAATCAGAGCAGACTGAGCTCTGGTTTCAGACAGAGGGTGAAAAGAGGTGCTGCAGCACAGGCAGTATGAGAAAAATAAAGAGCTTTTATAACATTAAAGCATTTAAACATGTCAGAGTAGAGACACAAAATACAAAAATTAACCTGAAAATTAGTTATTAATATGTCCTCTTCTCCTATGTTGATTTGTTGAACAAATGTTTTTTTTAAGAAGAGTATACACTGTTTATTATTGGTGTTTGGTTTAACTAGTGTTCTTCACCCAAATAAAACTATGTACGTTGTATGTACTTTTTAGCAATGGAATAGTTCACATATATTGATGAGTCCAACTGAAAATGGCAGTTCTTTTATCTGATGAGTTCAATGCATGTGTGGACAGGCACAGAACAAAAATATTGTTGTCATATCACTCCCACCAGGCAGTTAACCAGCTGCGGGCCTATGTTATTAGCTGACGGTTTGTCCCATTTGTCAATCACCATGTCCCCACAGTACACTGTACATTTTTATGTGCATTGTTGAATCCATACATTCCCTGATGAGGTAATGTATGTAGTGTCGCAAATTGCTTTGTGAGTTTAACAGTATGTATTTACGAAAACTGGACCCAGTAGAAAAAACAGCGGGAACCATTGATCTGACTGCCTATTTTCCTGAAAGAGATTGAAAAATATCCCATTGGAGCTGAATGTTAGGGATATGGAAGGCAGTTGGACCTAAAGGTAAAAAAATAAGTTAGAAGTTACAAATACTGGTCGACAAGAGACAAAAGACAAAAAATGAGAACTGGTATAACTTAAAATAGAAACAAAATGGGATGTCAAGAGTGAAAAACGCAGCAAATCCACAGGAACTAAGGAAGGATTAATCCAGGGAACATAAACAGGACATGTTAACAAGAAAGATTAACAACTACATCGACTTCAAACTGACAGAGAGCACTGGGAAAAATGTAAACGCACAAAACTAATCGCAGCAACAAGATTCAGCTGGAGAGGGCAGGCAGAAACACATGGGCAGCAGGTGATTGGACACAGGTGGAACATTTCATAGTGGGGCAAACAATCACAAAAAGGCAAGAAAACTAGTGAAATTATGACCAGACATTTCACAAGAGAGTGATTTTACAAATTAAAACAGGAAACAAAATTACAAAAACAAAGATCATGACACAGAAGCCCTACTTTGTCCCACTGCCTATTTTCCGTGCAACGTACGGCCTTCTTCCAAAGACCCATTGCTCCCAAAATACACACTTCAACTGAAACAAACGGATAAACATGGCTCATTATTATGCAGAGCGATGTCATTGGACCTCCCCAAATGTTAAAGGAAAAAAAATGCCATCTGGATTATTCTGCATGTAATTACCCAAATGCTATTTAGAATGTGAATTTCCAAACCGATAGACTGCTGGAAGAATGGCCATTTGTGTTGTGGAGTAACGGCTGTCGGACAAAAGAGCTTTTGGTCCGAAGATACATTTTCCTATTTTTTTTTTTTTAAATTGGCATGGCACCAAAACATTGGTTCTCTCTGTTCTACTGACAGTTTTAAAGGTTAAGATATTTAAAATGGCTTATGGCTACATAACTAGCATTGTGTGTGCTTGTAGAGAGTGTACAAATATATCCTTCATTGATGTATAGGCTATGAGCTCCAGTCATTAACGCACCTCAGAATTTGACAGCCTGTCAGTTATGGGCTGTCATTATATGAAAAGCGGCCATGTACTGTAGAGGCATGATGCATATACGCTGATTCCAAAAATATGCACTGATATTTGTTGCTTCTGCACAATCATTGTAGCAAGAGTTTGCCCTTTGACATTAAATCAGTTCTCTCTGACAAATTGCAGTTATTACATTTTACATTAAGTTGACCATGAGCATGTCGTTCACACCGGAGCTCTTGATGGATGTATCAATCGTTTATTCATCATATTTTCAGCAGCATTATTTTATAGTTCGTTTCTGCTGGATGGAAAACTTCCAATTCTGTGTGTTCACTTGAAGAATAACATGCTTCTCTGTAAGGTTAAAACATTGTTATAACTTTGGGTTTATGAACGTTTTGGTCTGACGGACAAGCTGACAACAAAGCTGATTTTCTCTCTTCATGAGAGGTTGATAAATGACAAAACAATCTATCATTGTTTTCTGTTGAGATTCTTGCCAAGCTTTCCTTCAGGCGTAGATTATTCAATTTTTAAAGCATAAATTAATCTACTGGGTTTGAAGTAAACAAAGCTATTAAGAATGCTTGGTCAGTGATTTAAAAACATATTGTTAAAATACTGCATCTTCATCATTTAGGACGTGCTGCATCAACGGAAACAATACAAAACATATATATAGTTTTTTTTTATACAGAAATCTTTAATCTTCATCACATTATATCACACACAGCCTCAAATTATTTGATTGTAATGTATAGATTTTCTCTTGCATCCTGTGAGCTCATTTGATACGTTTGTAATTGCTCTTGAACTAATTCCAATTGAAGCCCAAAGCACTGCAGGAACACACGCACGCACGCACGCACGCACGCACGCACGCACGCACGCACGCACGCACACACACACACACACACACACACACACACACACACACACACTAATGTTCTGTATCTTTCACCAAACATCTGCTTAATTATCCCTTCTAGCGCTGTCTGTCATTTGCGATATATTGTGCCACTATTATTTTTACTAATGAGAACATTCAAACACATGTACACACACACTGACACACAATCATGCGACTTTGAATATAAAATCTAAGCTTATTTGTTCCCAATTTGCAAGTTGTCAAGTTTTTCCAAAAGTAGTTTTCAAGTATGTTTAGACATGATTGTTAAGATACCAAAGACTGTTTTTCATAAAGAAACTGTTAATAAGACTGTTTTTTATTATGAATCAATTAATTAAAATCTTAACATAAGAGCTCGACTTTCTGCAAGTAATTAAAAAAAATAGTAACAGCAAATTATTGTAGGAAAGGTTATAGAAAATTATATAACATTTAATTTGATTATTGAGATATTCCCTTTGTTTGTTTCATTTATTTCTCTTTTCTTATATTTACCCCCCTCCATCACCAGGCGAGCAGCTCCATCTGCAGAGTTTTCTGTGGACCGGACCCGTCACCTCATGTCCTTCCTCACCATGCTGGGGCCCAGCCCAGACTGGAATGTGGGGCTGTCCGGAGAGGACCTCTGCACCAAGGAGTGTGGCTGGGTCCAGAGGCTGGAGACAGACCTCATCCCCTGGGATGCAGGCACTGACAACGGTGTCACATATGAGGTAATCTCTCCTAATTTCACTGTTGGCAGCCGTAGAAACCATGGAGGTATAACATCCAGTAGAGACTTGTAGTTGCATCACAGACTACAAAAGCTGTTGTCATTACAAAGGACCACTCGATAATTGTCTGTAATTAAATAATGATGAAAGAGGGGTTTTCCGGTGGCCAAAGGCACTAAAAAATGAAGACACAAGAAAAAGGGAATTAATAATGCTAACCAAAAAAGTATTTAAGTAAAATACTGACATAAGTCAGTAATGATACATGTTTTCTTATGGATTATAACCAAATCAGTAATATTATCTTAAAAATGTAAGCCTATAACACCAACTTTGTAAGCTCGCTAACTACTGACCGTTGTTATTTTGTTTTCTAAAATAACTTATAAAAGCTATATTAATGTACCTAATCTCTAGCTAACTAATGCTAGCTAACTAACATAAGCTAGAGTTGGAGGTTTGTAGAGGATAAAAATGGGCTAGCTGATCAAATACTGTAACTAGATTAAAAACTCTGCTCAGTTGGCTATAGAGTGATGCAGGAATTTGTCCTAAAACCCAGAGTTACGTTAACCGTTACGAGAGAGAGAGAGAGAGAGAGAGAGAGAGAGAGAGAGAGAGAGAGAGAGAGAGAGAGAGAGAGAGAGAGAGAGAGAGAGAGAGAGAGAGAGATAGAGCGGAGCAGAGATAGAGAGAGAGGAGGAGCTCTCGTCTCTATCGCTCTCATCTCGCTCTAGCTATCGCTCTCTCTAGAGAGAGAGAGAACTTTCATCAAACACTTGACTTCCAGCTGGCTGTTAGCCCACTGTGCCACACTTCTTCTTCTTTAGCTCTCCACATCCTTGAATTGAAAACAGCTCATCCATCTTCATTATTTAAAAAATACAACAATGTATTTATAGTTTACAACATCATGAATAAGCAAGGAGCATATCCTGCTGGAAGGAGGTGATAAATCCCTTTCAAATCCTTTCTGGCTTTCAAACAACAATGCATTTTACAATTTCTTGCCTTTTTACCAGGGCCTTTACTTGGTTTCCTCAGCTCTCAGAAACACATTGGCGCTCACTTTTTTGAATGGTGTCCAGTACTGTATATGTATGTGTATTCTAAATTTGAAGATGTTGTGATCATAGATATTATAATTAGAGTAGTAGGGTTAGGGTTAGGGTCATGGTACTAAACATAGACAAAGGAAACATAGATTATACAGCAGTATTTATTTTCACACTAGATTAAGGTACATTTGCCATTGTTCAGTCTTTGTATAAAATGTAGAGTATCACAATTATGTAACTGTTCAGCACTTGGAAGGCCTTTTAAATTGCGGTATCCAACTTAATAACGTCTTACTCTGGGGAGTGTTCCCTTAAAAACACAATTATTTTCAAATGTACCATCAGATAATCCATGCATCCTACTGAACAGAAGACATTAAATCACTGCCACCTACGGACAGAGATAGGGAAGTACACGTCTTCTAGACAATACGCTTGTTCCAATGTGCAGTTTATGAAAAGCAAAGACTTCAAAGCTTCTTTCTGTTTGCAGAAATTAGAAGTACATTTGCATTTTGTAATTATCTCAAACAATAGATGAATGTCTTCTGTTTGGTCTTCTACCGCACAAAATCTTGAAACCAAAAAGTAAGACAAGAAAAAACTTGTGTTCACTACAAAGAGAATCATCAACACTGTTGTTACAGCGCTGTACAGGAAGATGTAACTTCATATCTCCTCTGATACTTTCTTTGTAGATGTCATCCTTTTGTCTTATGCATTACTCCTGAATCTATTCAATCCAAAGTTGGTGTGAAACTTGAAACAGCACAGCGAGTGAAACTGTAGGAACAAAGAGAATGATTCATGTTTGTCACATGTTTTTATCTTTTCTCTCTGTAGAATTTTTTTAAGCTCTAAGAAAACACACATGCTACCAAACACCTGAGAAACTTAATGGATCTTGTATTAAAAGGCATGATATTGTGTTAGTGTGTTATTACTTTTAATTATTTCTAGTTACATGCGTTTCTTTCTTAAGAAAAATCATGTTGTTCTCTTTCTACAAGCCTCTTTTACAGATATGCTGATATTATATGCAGATATAAGATTAGTATTCTTGTCCCACAAAGAATTCCCATGTCCTGAATTTCTGCTGTTTAACTTGAATTACTCTTATCATTGCTCAGCGGAAGACTCGGTCATATACGCCTGAGGCAAGGCAGTCTCTCAGTATACAAGAGCAGATGTTTTCCTATAGGACATCAACCATTTCCACACCAAGTGCACAATGCTAATGTGAGAGGGTGGAAATAGTTCCCCTTCAAATCATGACCTAATCTTCCCCATCTCATTTTCACACGTCCATTTCCCCCTGATTGTTAAAGAGACGTCAGAGTAGATTCACCTTTAGTTTCACATTGACTTTGGTTTTAATGAACCATAACGGAGCGTCCACACAGCAGCGTTAACAAAATCTTGGAGGTGGGCGTATCTGAAGCTTGGGGATTTTTTGCGAGCAACGCGACCAACAACCAATCACATGAATCTCCCGCCCCCGACATACAAAGCAAAAAAGCCCAAAGTAAACTGGATATAAACTCCCCAAACAGGCGAAAACATACCACTGTCTCTGCCACCTCCCTCCATGCCTGGCTCCTCCGGTTTATATCCCGGTAGGTAAATAGGGACTGGTCATAAAGCACCGGGTGATTCCCTACCGCTAATTTCTCCTCCATTTTTTGGAATATGAGGAAATGACCTGCAGTATGTCTCTCCCAGCATACACGCCGTTTGATTGGCTAGCGCTTGAACTGTCAGATTTCCATACACGGGATTTGATTGGCTGACGCTTCCACCTCAGCTTCAAAAGTTGAACATTGCTCAACTTTGAATCCTGAAAATCCTGAAAATCTCCGCTCTGCTTCCCACAATGCAGTTCGGCGAAAAGTGAGGCAAAGTGACGTCACCCCATTCAAAGTGAATGGGCAGAAGCGTTAGAAGATTTTTTTAACGCTGCTGTGTGGACGGGCCGTAAGAGTCTTATATGACAACTCTGTTACAAAGCAGTGTTCACACATCATGCAGACATGAACCAACAATAGCATTCTTTTGAGTCATGCTTGTGTCAACAAATGTAATATAGGCCCAGTATTAAGTATTTTCTTTGGCTTTGTTTTGGTCTCCAGTGGGACAAATCTTTATCTCTCTGAGCTAAATGCTCCGCTCACTTCATTGGACTGTGTTTGGGTGCTTGGTATGAATCATAAAGTTAGTTTATAGAGCTTGTTTGCCAAAAACATCTGCGCAGAATTGTTGTAAAACACAGCAATAAGACTTAACCAAAACTGTTACATCAAAACAATGAGTTGAAAAGCACAGAAATGCTCTGTAGAGTTGAGGAGTACTAAAGAGTTGGTCACTACATGCAAACATTTGTACATTACCCATAATCATTTGATCCATAGCTAATATAAAAAAACTGATCATTGCAGATTCAACCATTAAATACTGAACTTCAAATTTGCTCACCTACCCTCTTGTTTTGAATTCTTCCAGTCACCAAACAAGCCCACCATTCCTCAGGAGAAAATCCGACCATTGACCAGTTTGGACCACCCCCAGAGCCCCTTCTACGATCCTGAGGGAGGGGCAATTACCCCCATCGCCAAGCTGGTGGTGGAACGCATCGCTAGAAAGGTACAATGTAGTACAGTATGTTAAAGTAAGAATGCATGTATAAAGAAATAAAAACACAGAAAAAGACCATGTTCCACGTTTTTATACAACTTCCAAACATCTACAGCAATGTTGCCAGAGGTAGACTCTTCAGAAATAAATTGGAGAAGAATGTCACAAGCCAAGGATTTAGTATCCTACCAGTAAGAGTGCAATGTTTAAAACACAAGTATTAGTAAGTTACATAAGAAATGTTGCCAGCTTTAGCAAGTCGCTATCCGGCGTAACCTATCCTAATCCTAACCCTAAATCCAGAATTGCAAATACTTATATCTCGTAGGTAATTGGGTTTCCTGACAGTTGTATCATTTTTATAATAATAATAATAATTTGATAACATAAAAGTAAAGAAAAAAAAAATGTACATCAACAGAAAACATTGTATTAATGTATCTTTCATTTTATTTAATTCTTAAATGGAACAAGTGTCTAGGAAACCCAAAGTATCTTTCTGAATTTAGGGTTAAGGTTAGGATAGGGTACATCGGATGGCCATTAGCTATCACTGGTGATTTTTTGTTCATCTAACTTACTACCTGTGATTTAAACATTGCAACACACTAGTAGCATTTACATACAAGTTGGCTTTTCTAATCTCATAAAACTAACATGACCTCCACAACAAGAATCTGCATTGAGGTTTCTGATTGCAATCCTAATTTCGGCTCTAAGAACTGCATTGACAATCCCTACTGTAACCATGCTGACCCAAAATACATGGAATACCATTTACACATAGACACAGCCAATGGTGATCAATAGAACACAAAACATTCAAAGGTTAAATCAAGAGTTTAGGCTTGAAGATAGTTTTGTCTTTTAAGAAGCTAGGGCTACATGTGTGTGTGTGATGGATGTTACCCCAGTTGTCTTTGTGTGTGCAGGGAGAGCAGTGCAATGTGGTCCCAGACAACATAGATGACATCGTAGCTGATATTGGACAGGAGGACAAGGAGGAAGGTACTGTAAACACACACACACACACACACACACACACACACACACACACACACTTTCATTTACGGATCTTCCGTGAAAGAGCCCAAACTAGACACAATGAATTTACTCTAAGGGCTTGATGGAGCGTTTAAGCTAATTACTTAGACCCTGTCATTACATGATATTGCATTCCTTTAAGTTCTTTGAACCATTATATTCTCTTTGTGTTTGCTAAACATTCTCTGTGACTAGACACTGTGGTGGTTCAGTGTGTTATTACACTCAAGGACACACACACATAGCTCATTAAAGTCACAATGGGTTTTAGTCTCAGATGTGATCTGGTCAGTTGGTCAGAACACACATCTGGCAGTATCCCCCCCGCTGTGAGAGGGGAGAGGGGGTGGGGGGGGCCCACTGCTGCAGAGCCAGTCGTGTCCCTATCAGACACACTTTATATTCTGTGACGCATCAGGGATCCTGTCACTCCTGACAATGATGTTCCAGCAGTGCTGCATATGAAATCTGTCTGCAGCGGAGAGTTTTGTCTCTGATGTATAACCACAAAGAAAGAAGGAACAAATAAAGTCTTACTCTCTCCCACATTTTTGCTGTGGTATTTGTTATCATGTTTGGGGGATAGAAGGACCACGACAGAACACAAATATTCAATATTTTGATTAGTTCGTTGACGCCCAGCACTCTTTCTTTTAACCTCTTTCCGTCTGCTGCTGTTTTTCTTTTCTGTGCTTGGCATAGTTTAGCAATCATGAATCCAAAGTTTAATGCTCTACACAAATATAAAAGTGAATATTCAAATGTATACCATGGTGGTTTCTGATGGATACAAAACGAATGTTCGTTGTTCACAGCTGACCTTGAATCAACAGCTTGATTAAAGACACTAGGCTAATCCCGTGAGCAGAATTCTTGTAGGCAAACCGGAGTTAAACAATAATGACTCTAACCCTAATAAAGCATTATGAATAAATGAAGAAAATCCTTCACACTAATGTTGACAAATACTAATTACTATATTATTCCCCACCATTATTATGAGCTGAGCTGCATGCACTATTATGTTCTAGGCTAGGGTAATAGAGCTTAAAGGTTGGGGATGCTTGGGACTGGAAGGTTGCCAGATGGAATTAAGCTTGTTAATCACATTGAACTGAGGGGTTTATTTAAAGGTTGTTAAAACCAAACTGCTTTCTTCAAATTACATTCCCTTAAAAAGCGATCAGATTGCATTTTTATTAACATTTTCAGAAATGTCAAAGCCATTTGTTAAAGGTGAGAAAATAGATTTTTAGAATCACAACCTCATTACTGTATGTGTACTGACTTGTTATTGTTGAGCTTTAGTGGTGCATATGTTTAACTTTTGACATACTATATATGACAGCAGCGCTACGTCACTGCCTGGCAAAATGACGGCCCGCCCACTTTCCAGTCAAAACAGAAGAATCAAAAGAATTGGCGCCATGAGGAAAAAAAGGTTTTTACCATGCCTAAAAGCTGCTGTGTCGTTGCACCTCAAACAACAAAAAAGATGCAGAAGAAATGATTTTCTTTACTTTTAGTTAGAAAAAAGACGTTAAAAGTTCATATCTATGGGTTCAGGCCTCCACCGAGAGGACGGAGATAATAAACAATGGGGACCCTGTCGGTCAATACATGTACATCTGTAGGAAACACTTCATCACAGCAGAACTATGATGCTAACAAGCTTACCGTCAATCAAAGTTAGAAGTTGTAATGGTAAAAATCAAAATAGTGAGTGTAGATGCTGCATTGAAATATAAAACACTGAGAAGCCAAGGAGGTCACCGTTTGTACACCAATCATTGATCTCCAATGACATGATGTAGTTGTTGCCTTTCTAACCATTGTAATTGGGCTCTTTATAGATTTCACTTTTTACTTGGCCAACTGTCACTGTTAGCACAGTTCATCTGTTCCATTAATGTAAGTGTTTTGTCAGTATATTTGAAATGTCTAGGTTAGCTACATTAGATCGCTAGTTTACAGCAGATCCGCAATAATTTCGGAAGGAATCTTATGATCACATTAATTAAAAAAGTCAATAAAACGTACATTTTCCATACATTTCCAGGGACGTTTGCCAACTTTTATAACCCCCAGACGTCAATAACAGTCTGGCCCCAGCTGTGCGCATCACTTTTTAGTGTCCCTGTTTCCGTTGTGTTTTGAGCCTCTTGCTGCGTTTTGTATTTGCAGCATGTTCGTTTACGCAGCGCTTTTAGTAAACGCTGCGCATGTTTGGTCATCGTTAATGAAGATGTGTCTTCATTTGCATGTGTTTTGGCACATGTTTGTTTTCATATTTGCATCGTTTTTGAAAAAGCAGTGCGTTTCTCCCAATAGATTCTTAGTGTTTTTTGCCGTTGAAATGCATTTGCACGTCAACCACTTTAGCAGTCTATTCCAATGTGACTTTCCAACAAAATGATGAATAGAAACGGGAACTTAACTCGCATAAACGTTATAAACGAAGGAAAACACGTCTGCCATTATACTGTAGGCCAGTAAATTACAACATTATAGTACTACATATTACAGTAATAACAAGTGTGTGTCAAAGTGCGTGCGTGGGTGTCCCTTTTTGGAAAGATAGAACACATTTCAACACACTAGTTATTTTCTGTTATTACCCTGCCCTTTTTCTGATCACTGCTGTGACATTATAGTTACAAGATGAGCTGTTCCTTCTGTCCTTTTTAAACCACAGAGGGGCTAACAGTGCAAACAGTGCATGACGTGTTGGGACTGTACGCTTTGTGGCTATTTTAAGTGGCAGAGAGCAGGATTTTACCCACACTGCACAATTTTAACAAGAATCCCCTGCCGCCTAACACACGTCTTCCTCAGTCAGTCATAGACCATTTGCTTATTTCCCTCCTCTCTTACTCTACCTGTACGCTTGTTTCCCCTCTTCTCTGTATGAGATGACACTACGGAGACGAAACGGGTCCCCAAAGTCTGCCGGAGCTTCACTGCTCTCACTTACACATCAACTCCCCTCTTACCTTCATCTCTGCTTCTCCAGCTCCTTTGTTCCCTCATTCTCCACGTTATCCCAGAGAATTGGACCCACTCAGGTTTGTCCCTGAGGCTTGATGCTCTATTCTCTCTCGTCTCTCCCCTCATTATCTCAGCCTCTCTGAACCCAGAGAGAGCATTTTAATTGAAGCCAGTCCCCCTGCTACTTCTCCTAGCTCTGTTCGCTCTGATAATTGGGCGAGACGTTCACAAATCCTCTCTTTCGCTCCAACTCCATCCGTTCTATCCCTCTCAGATGTCACTCTGTGGCTCCTAATGGTCCAGTACTTGCAGTAATCACCTTTGGACAAGTTGTGAAATAATAAATGTCAGCCTAATCTTCTCCCCCCTCCTCTAACTGTGACAAATCAGTTCAGCTGTTGTAGTGGGATGAAAATGAAACAAAACTTTCTTGAGCAGATTCTAAATGGTAATGATGACCATATGGTCTGTACGAGGATCTAGCCTGGGCCGGAAAGAGGCCTTGAAATGCTTTCGGGGTCTTCCCTTCCCTGTAGTGTGTTATATAGGTTTTTGTGGATGTAAATGGTCTGCAAAGGCTAAAATCCCTGGGTTCCCTCCAGACGGAGTTGATTGTAGTCAAATTGATATCTGCAAACACTGCTGTTAGTGTACATTTTGAATAGCAAGGGAAGGCACATCACTGTACATATCTTAACATCTCCTAAATGTATTTCTACTGAAGAAAATTGATTATGCTCCATTCAGAGGTCGCGTTAACCGAATATTTTCCGCCTATGACGGATTATTTTTAACAATGACGGAAAAATCAGAAAGCCGTCCGTCATTTTGACAGATTAGAACAAACTCCGAACAGCGCCAAAGTTTCCCCGAAGCGGGGCTCCGGTATTATGCCTTGTTATGCATGCCAAAAGGAAATGATATCGTTTCCAAACCTAACTTTGCCGAACAGATCAACGAAAGTATTTGCTTTATGCTGTGCACGTTCCCGTGAGGTGCTGTGGGCATGCATAACACAGCGCTAACAGTTCATGAGCGAGCGTCCCCCCCCGTCCCCTGTCCCCCGTTGACAGTTCACGAGTTGTGTACAGGCCGACGGGTAATAATGGATTTTGACGGAAATTTCTCGATCCTGTCCGGGCAGCGAAAAAGTCTAGCGCAACCTCTGGCTCCATTACTTAAAAAATATAAAGCATCGCAGTTTATGCAATCAATGAATGGGCACAATTTGAACGGAAAAACTAAAAAGCCTTTTTTCTTTGGCATCTCCTGCATTCACTTAACACCCCTTTGTGTTTCTCTCTCAGATGACACACCAGAGACATGTATCTACTCAGCCTGGTCTCCCTGGTCGGCCTGTAGCAGCGCGACGTGTGAAAAAGGCCGCAGGATGAGGCAGAGGATGCTGAAGGCCCAGCTGGACCTCTCTGTGCCGTGTCCCCACACTCAAGATTTCCAGCCCTGCATGGGCCCGGGATGCAGTATGGAGGGTAAAATCCCACACAGACATACAATACAGAAGATTTATGAGAATTGGGTTGGGATGTGGGGGACCACAGTTGTGAAAAATAGGTTGTCCCTAAGCTAGGCACTGTACTGTAATTGTAATTAACAGATGGAACCATCTCTAAGGGCCTCAGCAGGTCGGTGAGGGTCCCTGCTGAGAATTATTTTCCTTTGCTCAACAAGTCTTTGGCCCTTAGGAAACCAGCTGCAATGGTTTATTTAAAGCACTGATGGATACTGCCACAGTTTAACTCAGCTGGTCTTATCATATCTGCCAGGAGAGAATGTTCTTCCATCACAGACATAGAACAGCTTGATTTTTGTATGCATAAAATAACGACACTAGTTAACGGTTATATCGTATTCCCTCCATAAAAGCTGGTGAGTTAAAAATGTTATTAATAATATAAACTACAGTACTTTCAAGGTTTACTTGAAAAGCTAATGATAGTAGTGCAGTGACACCTTATTGAAGTTCAAGCAACTACTGTGTGTGAGGGAAACATACTGTGTTAACCATGGCATAAACATTGACAACGATATTTCAGTGAACCTTAGCGGGGTTTTTTAGAAATGTTATACGGAGACTCCCTATCATTGTTAAAACCTGCAATTCAAACAATGGGCAATGTAACAGTTGTATCAAGTCACGGCCAAGTAAGGAACCAGGAGGAGGGGGGCAAACTACCAGAGTCTGGCATTTAGACGGCATTCGGCTGTCAGTTGGCTGTCAGCCGGCTGGCCTTAAACTTGGAGGGGAACACCCAAGTGGATGCATCTCTAAGTGATCAGCCGCACTTGTACTGGGAAGAGGTGATTTTGTAGAATTATAGAGATATAAACCGATCACAACAGAGCCGGCCAGCTTACTAATCAGGCTGTCTGCCTGCTGGCCTTCAACTTGGAGGGGACCACTTGTGGGTGCTACTGTAAGGGTTCAGCTGCTTTTGTAGTGTGGATGATGTTTGTTTGTAGAATCATCAAGATTTAAATTAGAGCGATTTGGAAAATAACCAACTGTAAGTGGAGCAGGGTGGATCTAAAGGCTGAAGACAGGAGCACTTAACAGCAAACACCTTCATTAAAGGTTTGGTCTAGATACAACTAATGAGGGGATAAAGTGCAGGTTTACAGGAGGTCAGGTGGTTTTAGGGCTAATGGGAAACAGTTTAAACTAATAAGACAATCAAAACAGGTTGGAAAACACACAAAGACAGGAAGTAAAACCAGACATGACACAGTTTGAGAAAACAGTTCAACTAAAAAGTAGGTTAATGACACGAGCATTCTCAGCAATTTGCCCGTTAATAAATAACAGTTATCTGGTTCTGTCTAAGCACTTCCAGAAACAGAGCCAAAGTTGGAGAACAGCTCATTTTTTATTCACCTCATTACATTAAATGTAACTGCTCTTTTATTACCACTTAACATGTCCTTAAAGGGAACTCTTGCCTCACCAAAGAGCCTTCACAGTCATAAAACCCACTTACTTTTTACAAGTAAAAAGTGCACAATGAATTCAATTGGTAAAAAAATAATATGGTTAATAAGTAACATTTGTACTGCTCTTTAGCCATGTTTATGTTGGTAGTCAAGTGATGGCAATGGCAGCCTATCCATCATATAAGAATTGGCTTAACTGCAACTATTGAATAGTTTGACATTTCTTTTACATATATTTGTGCTTAAAGGACGAATTTGATTGTAAACTCAAACATCAGTATTTCAAGATGTCTAATTTTTTGGTTTGTCATTTCCAATGGCCTCGGTTGAACTTTTTGGTTTTTGGTAATTAGGAATTGTTAACATGATAACACAGTAACATACTGTAACATGGCCAATCTTGTAATAACCTTCCATTGCAGATGATCCCTGCAGCAGAGGGAACTATATCTGAAATGAAACGTCTTTAGAAAGCCATTTTACAATTGGAGGCACTATTTTTTGCAACACATAAAAAGTATGAGACTGAAGTGAGCAAAACAGTGATTCAGAGGACAAGCACGGACGAGAACTACAACTGTTTAACATATTACAGACAATGAAAAGGCTTAAGGGAAGGCAGTAAAGGACATTCCACGTTTTTTAAAGTTTCTAACACTAGGTCTGTACTGAAGTTTAGCAAGGGGACAGACTTGTTTTTACCTTCTGTTTTTCACGAGTGATACATGTCCTCTTGTGTTGTGACTATATGATCATAAGCAGAAACCACTTTCTTTTGATTTCAATTAAGAAATGTGCTAAACGTCTAACAGCAGCCCAGCATCAGTCCTATTAACAACACTTTATGCAAATCAGATGTGGCTTAGCTTGTTTATTACATCTCTGATCGTAGTCAATACTCCTCTTAATTACATTGTTGTCTGCCAATAAAAACATAGGCTGGCAGGATTAACCAATATCTCCCATTGTCTTGTTCTTAATATTACAGGAAACACATTTTTTTTTAAATGTGCACTTTGTTTTAAGTTAAACTTCTGCGTTTGTAACACTGTTTTTTAGGTAATTAATAGTTTAGGCCACAAAGAAGAAAAACCTTTTACTTTTAAAGTGAATAGTTTATAGACAGTTTGCTTAAGCATTTCATCACACAAAAACTGTAAGCATTAAATCACAAGGATTGCATTTTCTTTTGTAATACTTGAGTTGGGGTGTTTATACCCTATCAACAAGAGGGGTGATCAGTGAACCCTGAAAATAATAAGCAGATTAAAGCTTAGCCGTTTCAGACAATTTTTTGTTTATTTTGTCTTAAACTTTGGAATGTGTGCCGCTTCCTAATTTATATTCATGTCCTTGAGGGAATATTTAAACCAGGACTATAACTGTGCAGCCATAACACAACTTGCAGTTGAACTGAAAAAAGGTACAACTGAAAGTGAAATGGATGCCAGCTCAGTGATTACAGAGGAATCAGCTGAAGTGAATATGGTTACATCATCAGCATATGTCACAGCATACAAATCCCTAATCACACAGTGTAAACATTGGTGATTGGATACAGTAATTACTCCTCTGAAACATAAGATGATGTGGATCAGCTGTTAATGCTGAGGATCCAGGATGCTTAAATCAGGATTTGATTAGGCTTATCCTTGACTAAGAGAACGCACCATGCTTTCATCGTTATGTTAAAGATAATGGGGACAACATGGGGGCATGTACGTTCATGAATTTCATTCCATTGAGATGCAGAAACAAAGTGTAGAGCTTCACGGTAATTCAAGTATCAAAGCTGATGTGTTTTAAACAACTCAGTCAACTTTCTCTTCAGTATCTATGTTGTCGTCTTTCTTTCTGATGTCCCCAAAGTTTTGATGCTCTTTTACTCCAAGTAACAACTCACGACATTCCAACAAACACACACACACAAGAACAAAGCTCCAGGAGTTTGACTTTATCCAATTTCCAGTGAATTTGTCAGTTTGGAACAAATGCTGAGAGGCAGCACAGTATCTGTCTTCTCCTTCTTTCCTCTCCTTTTAAGATGTCTAGACGAGTGAAGCTCAGAATGTTTAAGGCTGCAGGAACATTACACACACACATAAGTCTTCTTATCGATGTACATCAGATAGCTCCACACACACTGTAGCTTTTTGTTCCTGCACACCTCTACTTTGTTTTCATTTAGCGCTCCGTTAGCGCTGGGTGGGAGATTGATAATTGCAGGGTTCATGCTGGGGCAGGGGCGGGGGCCGACGCCCTGGGTGATTCATATTCCTGGGAAACACTTTGGCTCTCTGGAGAACTCGTCTGAGCTGGAAGAACCTGTATCTTTTATAAATGATTCACTTAGTTCTGCTTTATTAGGCCACAGCCGGTAAGCAATTATGTTCTCAGATAGAAACAGAGGGAGAGTGTAAGAGAGTTTGTATTGTGAGTCGAAAAATAATCTGAACACAAGTTCCCATAAGTATCTATAATTAGACAAAAGGTATGCACCAAATAAAATAAAAAGAGACAAGGGGACACAAGAAGAGGTGGATGAAAGGATGTAGGGAAGGAGGCATGTAGTTATCTATTAAGGGAGGGTTAGGATGGGACTAAGGTATGAGGGAGGGATGTAGGGATGAATGGATGTAAAGATGTAGGGAGCATGGGATAAACAGATGAAGACATTTAAGGAAGGAGAGATGATTGGACAAATGAGCGGGATGTAGGGGTGAATGGAGGGATATAGGAAGGGATGAAGGATGTAGGGTACAAGGTGTAATTGGACGAAAGGATGTAGGGATGGATGGACAAAGGGATGTAAGGAGGGATGTAGGCATGACTGGATGAAGGAAGGGAGGGATTAAGGGTCAATTGGATATAGGGAGGGATCAAGGGATGAGTGGATGAAGGGATGTAATGAGGGGGGGATGACGGGGTGTAAGGAAGGAGGGATGAATAATTGAAGGGATGTAGGCAGAGAGGAATGTAGTGTTGAAGGGATGTATTGATGAAGGGAGGGAGGGATGGGTGAAGGGATGTTGGGAGGGAGGGAGGGAGGGAGAGAGGAAGGAATAAAGTGATGTAGAGAGGAAGGGATAAGTGTGTCAAGGGAATTTAGGGATGAATGGATGAAGGGATTTAGGGAAGGAGGGATAAAGGAATGAAGAGAGGGAGGGATGAAGGTCAAGGTTATGGAGGGAGGGCGGGATGAAGGGAGGAAGGGATGAGGGGTCAGAGGGATGTAGAGTGGAGGAGATGAAGAGATGTAGGGATGCGGCAAAGCATACGTAGATTTGGAATGGAAGGAAAATGGAGGCTGGGTTGTGAAATCTGGTAGCTCAGCTGCTCCTGAACCTAAGCTAACTAATTAACGTAATTTATTTAGAAGTCTAGTTCTCCCATAATGGCCTCTTCTTGACAACATTTGAATATACTATCTGCTCCATTGTTAGAAGAGGTGCTTAATGGGGACAGCAGTAACAGACAGGGCTATTAAGCTTGTATAGCTACTCTATAAGTGAGGAATAGGGAGATCTTGAAGCGTCATGTGGGCTAATAGTGATGAAATACAACAGAGTGGAGCCTGGTTACAGAAGCAGCAGCTCATTTTATAGCTGACACAAGCGAGGGTCATGCATATTGACTTTCACTCCCTCAGGCCCCTGCTGTGAGTACGACGGTCCCTCAGGCAATTCGCCTTATTAAAAGATGGTTGAAGCAGTTTCTGAAAAAGAGCTCTTTGAAAATTGCACCTTCAACTTTGAGATGACTTAACAGACTAAAACCAGGCAGGTGTTAGAGAGAATCGTAAAGTGTCCTATCACTGGAGGACCTGTGTTCAAGTATTCCAGTCAAGAATCCTGCTTGCTAATATGTTGACTTTATTTGAAGACGATTTAGCTGAATTGAGAGAGCATTAGATTGATGAAAAATATGTCTGAGTTGTTTCGTTTTGGCAGTGGAGTGATTTTACCATTTTACTATATCTGCAGCTGGAAATGTTGAGTTGTTTTCTGTTGTTTAACGTTTCCTTGTCATCCAATTTTATTTTTTCACATGGGTGTCCTCACAATCTTTTATATAACATGTTCCTCCGAATGTATGGAGGACCCCCGCATTCAATACATTTATTTTCATTTATCTGACTCTTTTATCCAAGCAACTAACATACATTTCTAAAGCGTAGACATGCCAGGTTCAGTGTCAATAGACACTTTGACATATTGAATGCAGCGATTGAACCACTGACCCTCTGATGATAGATGCCCATTTATCCCCCTGTGCCACCGCTGCCCATTATTCATGTTATGGACAAACTCTTCCTAGAGTAATGAATTTATAAGTATTTCAATGGACAGAGCAAAAAAACAGAAACAATTCAATTAAATGAATAAGATAATTATATGCATTTATTTCCATGTATATTGTTTTATTTATGTAATTGTATGTTTACGTTTTTAGTGTGTTAACTGCTACCACATTAATACACATAAACAGAAATTAATTAATAAATCAAAACACATTTAGAAATTCTGACATTTATGAAAAAAAAAATAGATTTTAGAAAAACAAATACATGCAAATAAAGAGAAAGTTAAGAGAAAATTAAGAAACATGCTGGTTAAAAAGATAGGTTTATGTATTATTAAATTATGTGTATATTCATGGAGTAATGATTGAAATGTATTGTGCCTTTGTAAGAGTTGTGAGAAGCTGTAGCTCAGCTGGCCATTAAACGTTGGGTTTGTGACATCTTCTGTTGGCAGGTGGAAGTATTTCTCACCAAGAAGTCTAACATTAAATTCTACTGTATGCGCATAGGGAAAAAATAAAACTGCCATGTATGGTTATAAAAAGTGACTGTCCTTTTCCAGACATTTTGGGAAACATCAAATGTATCATGATCCAGAATAATAGAAACTACCATAGAGTATAATTATGAGTGAATCCACATTTAATATAAATTACAGCTTGCACCAGGCCAACATCGTACAGTGACAGATTGCATTGATAGACCTATTATTATGGTTGGCACCATGATTATGGTTGGCACTGTATAAACACAGCCAACTTCAGTCACAGCTGCTTAAGTAATACAAATATCTACCTTAAGTATTATCATTAAAGACATTTCGTTAAAACGCTGCTGCAACATGCAGGCTGAAATGAATGTTAAGATGTCTCCCTTTCCCAATGATAAAACACAGCTTTAATCATTCACAATTATTAGAGTTAGGTTGCAAGGTTGACTGGAAATGTCTGAATGATACATGCTCATTTAAATGTTGCTGGAGAATACTGGGATAAGCTTATGTTTTTCCCTTTCACAAATAGTGTCATTTCCTTATGTGAAGGAACCACATGGCATGATTCTGTCTAATGTACATGATTATTCCTGTTACAGTCGACCAACTTGTTGCAGTGGCAGACACAAACATTTTACCAAAACTTGCCTGTGTATATTACTCATTGAAATGAATGGTCAACTCCAGCAGTGGATCTACCAATGTATTAGTTGTAATCAGGATTTAACACTGAAACATGTCCAATATAAAATGTCAGGATGTTCTTCTTATAGCATCTTGCTATATTTTTGTTGTTCTCCTGATTGACAGAGCCGTCGACCTGCATGATGTCGGAGTGGATCAGCTGGTCAGCCTGCAGTGTGTCCTGTGGGATGGGCATGAGGTCCAGGGAGCGATATGTCAAACAGTATCCTGAGGACGGCTCCAACTGCCAGCTCCAGACGGAGGAGACGGAGAAGTGTGTCGTCAACGATGAATGCTGTGAGTCTTAGATCACACTTAGATTGAATCCCTTTTTTTATACATATTTGTTTAAAGGTCCCCTATTATACTGTTTTTCATCAATATCTTATAGGTCTCAGATATATGCAAAACATGTCTCTGAAGTGTTTGGCTCGAAATACCAAACAGATCATTGTAGCATCCCATAATCCCCTCTCTTTCAGCCAGTGCTTGAATTGGGCCGGTACTCACCGGTACGCAGTACCGGCACTTCTGATTTTTACCCATGTGGTACCGGCACTTCTTACTGAGTACCGGCAAGGTGCCGGTACTCAGCCGCCGGCATGACGCATGACAACAAATATGCCCAGCGTAGATGCACCTAGATGCGCCATGCGTCATGAGATGCCGCCGGTTGTCGCCGGACAAGGAGCCGACTGCTAATACAGAAATGCTGTGCCTGTGTTAGAAATGTTGTCTAACGGGGAGCCTTCTCTGGTCGAGCCTCCTGCTCCAAGTTCTGTAGCACTAGCTCCCACAGAGCCTTCTCTCCCGTCTCTCATTGATTCCCTCTCTTCTTTCCTGCTGAAAGGTGAGTGTACTCAGGGACGAGGAGTCATTTAACCAGCCGCCAGTAGGAGTCAGGCTTTACTTTCTTTTATATCCATAAATAAAAAGTAAATCTGTTTACAGTTCTGTTTCATATGGATGTTGAGAGGTATCCATATATCTCTTCATTTTGCTCTCAAAGTGCACCAGATTGATGCATTTAACTTCAATATTTAAAAAAAATCTTCATGCCTCCGGACCCCCCAGAGGGTGTCAGGTCCACTCCACACTTATAAATATAGCACTTTACCACTGCACCCCCTCTAATCTCAGATGCACCCTGAGTCATTTTATTTAAAGTGGACCTATCATGCTATATTTAAATGATATATTGTAGGGCCATACCTATATAAGGTATATTTATACGTTTCTGTTTTCAAAATACCAAACAGATCATGCATTTTAGCCATGCCTCATTTCGCTCTATGTGCTGTTTGCTGTCTACGGGTCTGATTCTGCTGACCACGCCCCCCTGCAGGAGAGGTGAGCCGTGCTCTGATCAGCTGCTGGGCTCTCAGAAGAGGGGGAGAAAAAAAGATCTCCGTCCTCCATGTTTTATTATATAGAGTCGTTATTCATTTGTTTTAAAGCTCAATAAATAACAAAGAAGACCTTTGACCGGCACTTTTCTAATTTTGTCCGGAAGATTTAAACTTTAACGGACATCTTGACCGGCGAAAGAAACTGAAACTGAAACTCTGCCGCACGGTCCCCTCGTTCCTTGGAAGAGGCGGAGAGGTGGGTGTTTGTCATCTGCTGGTGGACTAACCGGAGAGAATTACAGTGCTTGCCTCGACGGGGAGGGATTGCATTGAATTAAAGCAGCGGGAGCAAACGCTTGCCTCGGGGAGGGAGAAAAAAAGCCACAGCGGAGAATAAACAGAAGGGTAACCATGGTAACTATGGGCGGGAAGTCTTCTTCGCTGCTTTTGTGGCAGACTACAGCACCACTTACAGGCCTGGCATATGTACTACAGCGTCTCCAGCGCTTTCGAGCGGCAATGGCCGGCCGTGGCCCAACCCCACATTCCCCTGATAGGTGGAGAGTTGGCCCAATAGCCGTAGCGCCACCGTCCTGACATCAGGACAGTATTCAAATCTGGATCAGTTTTTATCAGATCCGTTGCAGCCCCTTTTTTAGAGATTTGGGTATGGAGGAAAATAGAGAGGGTTGTGTTTTCTGACACTTAGTGAGTTCCCTGGAACACCGGGGACACATCTTCATGTATAAAAGACGTACAAAATGCATTTTGCATGATAGGTCCCCTTTAAGTACAGTGAGCCTTTCTAAAATATACAGTAAAGAGACAAACCCACCAGCATTATAGGATATACTAGGACCTATATGACTTTGAGCCAAATTCTTGTTTTTGGGCTGTATAAATAAATTGACTTGAAACAGTTGCTGATTTAGAGTACTGGCACCTTTTTTATTTCAATTCAAGCACTGGTTTCAGCCCTGTTTCCAAAGTGCTGATTCTCTGTCTTTTACTTTAGATGAAAATAAGGAGCCACTCCCCACGCCCCTCTGAGAGATATTTGGTTAAAAAGAACTCAATGGTGCTCTAGGAGGAGATTCAGGTGATAAGGTGTGGGGGGGGGGGTACCTTGGTTGGTCCATATGTTGGCATAGTTTATAATTTATTAAGCAAAAATGCAATTGCCAGAAGTAAAAAGCTAACATTAGTCTACATTACGGACCAACTAACTTCTAACAACACCACTAAGCTAACAGAGGTTAATGTTTGGCGTGATGAGGTTTATCGGAGGTGGGAGAAGTACTCAGATCTTGTACTTTAGTAAAAGTAGAAGTACCAAAGTGTAGGAATACTATGTTACAAGTAAAAGTCCTGCAGTCACTCAAGTAAAAGTGCAAAAGTATACGCATCAAAATGCAGATTGGTCCATTTCAGAATAATATATACGATATGTTTTATAATGATTGATCATGAAAGTGTTCTCAAAGCTGGTAAAGGTGCAGCTAGTTTGAAGGACTTTGTATACTTATAGCTTGTGAATTTACTCCAGGTGGAACTAAAGTCTGATTTAACACTTGATTATATTTCACATCATTCATCCACATCTGTAAAGTAACTAAAGGTATTAAATACATGTAGTGGAGTAAAAGTACACGATTACCTCTGAATTGTAGTGGGGTGGAAGTACAAAGTAGCATAAAATGGAAACACTCCAGTAAAGTACAAGTATCTCAAAACGGTGCTCAAGTACAGTACGTGAGGAAATGTACTCAGTTACTTCCCCCCTCTGAGTCTTATTTAGTCAATTGTAATTGCACGTGAAAATCTCTTAAACTCTTGTTAACCACAGACCATATTTCAAGCGTCTAACCTAAAACATGTTCATAAAACCCATTGACTGCAACACCAGGAAATCCGAAGTGATAAAATGCTAACTCATTTCCAGGTTTTAGAACTCATTCCTGCACCACTCTATTGTGACAGTGTGTTGGCTTCCTTAAAGAGCAACCAAAACGGAGCTACGTAAATCACACGACCTAGACATTGCACCACACCTTATATGGTGAAAAATGGCCCATCTGATATGACTCATGATCTGACTTTAACAGTCAATCGAAAACTTGTCGTGGAATCTCGTAAACACTGATATACTGATAAATATTGGTGTTGTGTTTTTGGTATTTTGCACTCCTCCACAGCTCCCAGCAGCTGCGTGGTGACTGAGTGGGCAGAGTGGGACCCCTGCAGCGCCACCTGTGGCCTGGGCATGAGAAGACGTGAGCGCATGGTGAAGATGCCTCCTATTGACGGGTCCATGTGTAAAACAGAGTTGGCCGAAGTGGAGAAATGCATGATGCCAGAATGCCGTGAGTAATATTTATATCGTTTTATATCTGTTGTAGAGTAGCATAACACATACTTTTCAGGGGCATTTCTGCATAACTGTACACACACAAACTGAAGAGGGAGACATACATGAGCTTTATTATGCAAGTTCAATGCTTTAACGTGGTAACTGCTAATAACTGTAGCATACGTGTTTAAATACTTGTGTTGACAGACAGCTTCCCCTGCATGCTGTCCCCCTGGTCTGACTGGACGGAGTGCAGTGTGACGTGTGGGCGGGGCTTGCGCACACGTCAGAGGATGCTGAAGTCTGACCCTGCAGAATGCAGCGAGGAGCTGGAGCAGAGCGAGAAGTGCATGCTGCCCGAGTGCCGTGAGTACCTGAAGAACAAAACAGGAAATGGGCATTCTTTGTGCATTTACTTTAGTTTGAACCTGACATGCTTGTTTCCTGAGATTTGGGTTGTGTTTCTGACCGTTTTTAAGGTGTTATTTAACATTCATTGCGTATATAATTTGTCCCATTTCAGGAGCACCATTTAGCTTTTTATTTATTTTTTGGAAAATGCAGCTCTTACAGTATGTTTTTGTTTTTTTACTTTCCATTCCCAGTCTCTATAGTATATATATATATATATATATATATATATATATATATATATATATATATATATTTATATAGTTTAGTTCAAATAATTCAATATTTGATGATGAATACTTTAAGTCTCATGGTAAGAAAAATAAATGTAATAGAAATGAATAGACTGAATACTTACAGTAAGTTCAGTGTTACATTACATTACATGTCACTTGTTAGACGCTTTTATCCAAAGCGACTATGTTAGCATAGAAAGTTGCATGTTCTGGTCACACAATAAGCTGATTATGTAGTAATTTAGGTTTAGTTTACACAATGTGAGCTCACATTGTCCAGAAGACCCGATAAATATCAACTTGATCTCACAGAACTTAACATGATCTGCCTTTAAATTCAGAAACTCTAAGGTGTAAAAGTAAAAGGAAAGTTAAACTTGGGAAATGCACCACTGAACGCAGATAAGACAAAAATGATTTTAAGTGTATCTATCAATAGATCTAATCACAGTAAGGTTTAACCATCTGCCCCTCCTTTGTTTTGATTTTTCTGACCTTTCCTTTTGTTGTCTTCCTTTGATTCTCCAGCCGTGGACTGCATGGTCTCTGAGTGGTCCGAGTGGTCCGAGTGCAACAAGTCGTGCGGTAAAGGACACACCATTCGAACCCGTATGATCAAACTGGAGCCACAGTTAGGGGGCAGCGCTTGTCCCGAGACCATCCAGAGGAAGAAGTGCAAGATCAGGAAGTGCCAGTCGAAAACAAAGGAGGAGAGGGGGGGTAGAGGAGGAGGAGGAGGAGCAAGGATGAGGCGACGGGGTAAACAGGGAAGAGACGGAGCGGTCGAGGAGCAGCCAGGTTAGTGGGAATAATGATGTCTTTATTCTTAAAGCTAATACATGCCTCCAGAAATTGATAAATCGTTTTTCTAGCAGGTTGCAGAATGCAGCCGTGGACCAGCTGGACGGACTGTACCAAACCATGTGGAGGGGGGATCCAGGAGCGATTCATGATGGTGAAGAAAAAAGCTAAAGCCGCTCCGACGGGCAGCTGTAAGGACAGGAAGGAGATCAGGGCCTGTAACGTTCATCCTTGCTAGGGGGCACTACTGAGCCACAGAGGAGGGGATACTGAAATAGAAAATATGGGTTAATTTGATAAAAAGGATGATCAGAACCATTGGTGTACAGGGAGGTGAGGTTAGGGTGAGATAATGGGCTGGTTTGACACTTGGAAATGGGATATACGTTTAGGCAAGTAGAGGAAAAAGAGGAGCAGAGGAAGCCATTATAGGCATGTAGTTACCAGGGCTGGCATTTACTTAAGAACACAATAGAAGTATTAGAGAGTAAAGTCTGTGTCCTGCAAAAAAAATTCAGCAAGAAATGATGACAGGAGCTTTGCCTTTGATGCACGCATTTTTTTTTCTGGCGTATTTTCAGTAGTTCTTTTCTTTTGGGTATGAAATAGGGTTCCTGGTGTTTCCCCAGAATTCTAATTGCCTAAATCGACTCCTATTTTCTGAGAGAAATACCTCCAAGAATCTGAGATGTTTTGCATGTGTCTGCTTTGTGCTATTATAATGACACAACAATTCCTTCTCCACACTATTTCAATGATAAAATGCTAGCTAGTTGTAGATATAGTCTCCCCTAAAATGACATTACTACAATAATATAACTTCGGTTTTTCAGAATCTTATTCAAGCTAAAATGGCGACCTGCTTCTTTTTAGAAAAAGTAAGAAAATTAAAAAGTCCAACATGTTATTTTTGTCCTAAGAAAGTTCAATCAATATGTGAACATGAAATAATCTCTCTCAAAGAAACCAGTGAAGCAAGTCTCAAACTTGTCCGGGAGACTGATTTGGGATTTGTGGATATATACAAATAAGCCAATAAAAAAAAGGCGAAATAATGATTACATTGACAAGCGTTTCAAGCTACAGGGAAGAGTCGATGAGGACAGCAACTAAAAAAGAAATCAATATAAAAATACAATACAAAATGTAGTCAATTAAGTCAAAATGCAGAAGTATTATAAGCAAAATGTATTTAAAGCAGACCCGGCGCTGTGGGAGGGCCAGGCTTAATGCTGGTGTCAGATTAGTGATGTCAGATAGTAATATAAGAGAATAAATGAAAAACAGGTATGAAATACTATATGACAGTAAAACAAGAATACAGTTTAAAAGGGGAGTGATTAGTAAAATATCCATAAAGAAAAAGTAAATCTGTTTACAGTTCTGTTTCATATGGGTGTTGAGAGAGGTATCCATAGATCTCTTCATTTTGCTCTCAAAGTGCACCAGATTGATGCTTTTAACTTCAATATTAAAAAAAAAATCTTCCCGGGGGAGCATGCCCCCGGACCCCACTAGTGGAGGTTAGGTCCACCCCCCACTTATAAAAATAGCACTTTACCCCTGCTTACACCTATATGCCGTGAGCTGATTATCGAGCCTTCATTGTAACAGTCGCGGGTGTACTGTGTATGTGCGTGTGGGGAGTGTTGCAGTAGAATGGGAAACCCTAAATGTTTGAGCACACTCTATGAAACGTCAAGCTACCCCACAGCACCCCCAAAAGAAAATCTCGGGCCGCGGCACATGACGGTTTTGTGGGCCCTCCCATGAAAATCATATGCCCTCTCTGTAGATTTGTTCTGGCGCTGGGTCTGACTTAAAGTATCCGACAGAAATGTATTTAACTTTCAATACAAATCACAGGTAGTCTACTTGTAGGTTAGGGTTAGGAATAACCTTAGCAATACAAATCTAAGAAAAGTTATATTCCAGGGAAGTAATTTTAAAAATCAAGGACTTACTTCCAACCTTAAATGGGTTATTTTGAGTTGCCAAATGTCACGTAATTGAGAAAGAAAAACGAAACTGAAGATGTAGGATGTGTTTTTTTGCAAGACATAGATGCTCACATGGGAAGTCTCTGAAGACTTAAGGATGCACTGTATATCGACTATCTAACCCACACTCATAAATGACATATCTATGTAAGTACTAAAAACCACTTTCCCTAATAAACGGATACATTACATTGAGATGTTTTATACTGTTTGAATTAGTCTTTATATACTGTACTGCTGTTTATCTGTTGTTCAGCTGATGTAGCATTAAACCTGCGATAGCTCTCACTCTGTGAAGAGAATATTTTTAGCATGTGCATAGATAATTATGTCGGGTATTTTTTTCGTAAATGTCTTGAAACAGATAAATGACTGTATCTGCCTTTGTTGGTTCCTGAAAACACGGAGTAGACTGTTACGACACAATGTATTCTCCTGTGCGCTTTCATCTGTGTTGCCATGATGAGGGTGAGCTGTCACATTTTCTTGATTATTATTTAGCAGATCAAGTTTTCTTTCAGTTTTAATAAGAATGCCATAACCAAAGTTCTATTTTCTGTAGATGTTTTTTCTTCTCTTCACTCTTTTCTGTTTTCAGGCCTTTTGCTTTATTTCCTTGCCTCTGTATCATGTGACTATTTTCTAAGAAACCACCTTTACAATAAAAAATGTAAAAGTGATGTCAATTGCCTATTTAAAAAAAATCCATTCTCACTTTCTGTTTGCAACCTCTTAAGGCAACACAGTCTCACGGCATTTCGTGTTATAGTCACGAAATGAATCTATTGATTCGTGTTCACCAACACGATTTCACAATTTTTTTCGTGTCACACAGAACGATTTTAAAAGCAATGTAAATAATAACAAATTAGAAGGAAGAACAGATAAAAAAAAATACAGATTTCAGTATTCTGACACAGAACGATTTTAGAAGCAATGTATTTATATTGGTAGTATGTTTCGTGCCTGCACCAAATAATAACAAATTAGAAGGAAAAAAAGATGACAAAAAATACAGATTTCAGTATTCTGAGGCTCTGAGCCATTTCTTTTCCTCACTGACGGCAAAAAAACTCCGACATTATACAATTTAAAATAAAAGGGTTAGGGTTAGGCTTAGGGTAAGATATTGAGTAAGAACATGTTTTTATGAACCACACAGCTTCTGGTCTTCCAAGACCCGACCGGACAAAAAGACGTGGTGCAGGCACGAGACATACTACCAATAGAAATACATTGCTTTTAGAATCGTTCTGTGTGACACGAAAAAAATGCAAAAATCGTGTTGGTGAACATGAATCAATAGATTAAATTAATTTCGTGACTATAACACGAAATGCCGTGAGACTGGGTTGTCTTAAGGACGACGGTCCTTAAGTGGACCCCCCCACCGTTTTTTTTCGAGACTGTGTCTCAGGGCTTCTTAACATTTATGAAACTATTAATGTGTAGCACCAGATTAACGGGAAGAATCTCAGCTAACTGAAGATATGAACCATTTTTACCAAAACAAAACACAAGGGTAATACCAAGCCTCTGAATTAGCACTAAGCGAAAAAATGCTAACGCACTTTAGCACAGAACTCAAGATAAAGATACCCTTATTACTTATCATAGCTGCACATACAATATATCCGATTAAAGCTGAGACTCCACAGATTATATAGGTATAGTATCATCACTGAGCGATCCGAACTTGCGACAGGGGAAGCAAACACAGACATCACAACACGTACCTTTACGGAGCTTTTACGGGAGATCGTCTCACCGTAGCTGTAAAAAAAACGCAGCTGAATCTGTTGATACATAGGTTAATAATGTATCTGTGGCTTTGAAAACATTATTTATAATCCATAATTCCATTTTTATGTAAAAATCGGAGCAAAAAAGTTAGCTGCTAACAGCCAACAGCTTCCGGTTTTGGCCACGCGTCACTCTCACTCCTTATTTGTTAATGTGTTGGTGTGTGTAGAACTTTCCCTCGATTCCATTGGCTCTAGCGGTTATAAAGAGATTTCATTCATCAAAATCGAGCAAGGGGGGCCAGAGATAGGTCAAATCCACCCAAATGACCCCAGAAGTGGTTTCTTTTTGCTAAATCTCTCTAAAAAGGTCAAATGTCACTTGTTTTGCATCAATCTTGATACAGGGTACTTATTATATGTTGTACTTTGGATTCCTAAAGCTTTTAGTCTACCTTACCATCATCCAAGGGTAGTTTTCACTATAAGTAAAAAAGAATTTTTGGACGGACACTATAATTTACAGTTTTTTACTATGTTCAATCTGAATTTTCTTTAAAATAAAAAACATCTATATTGATTCTGACTTTTCTACATCCAACTCACAGGTTTTTCATTACTTTGAGAATAAAGATTATTAATTTAACCCTTTTAGAAGGGAAGATATGGTCATTTGTTCTGGGAATGTCATTTTCGAGCCTGAGACCTGAAAAACAGGCTCAGGGCTTAAGAGGTTAAATCCTTGTACAGCTCAAAATCAGGTGTTAAGATAAGAGATAAGATAAGATATACTTTATTAATCCCAAAATTGGGAAATGTTTTTCGCTGCAGCAGCATGTAAAACAAGTATTGCATATATTTAGGAATAAAAAAGAGTGGAAAATAAACAATTATACAATATAAACATCTCAAAATAGAAGATTAAACAGATCTAAAAGAGTGAAAATATAGAAGTGGACCGTGAGAAGAAATATGTAAACTATCTGACAAATAAAACACTATTGAAGGGCTAAATAACAGCTAACACAATATAAAAGTGGGATATTATTTACATTTGGTGTGCAAGAATGGCAAAATTAATTAAATATAAATATAAAATGAGGCGTGTGGCACAGTGGATAGAGCGTTGGTGTTCGGATCAAGGGAGCACAGGTTCAAACCCCACTGCAGTCAGTATGTCGTTGTGTCCCTGGGCAAGACACTTCACCCCAAATTGCTCCTGTGGGGATTGCCCACAGTATTGAGTATGTAAGTCGCTTTGGATAAAAGCATCTAACAAGTAACATGTAATATAATAAAATGTACAGTGTGAAGTTATAAATCCAGTTAGCAAAAGAGAAGCTATGGAGCAGTGAGTCCTCGGCCAGCCAGAGGTGAGTTGTTATCGAGAGTTATTGCTGTTCTTCTTTATCTGTCCCTGTGACAGCGGAAAGATTTTTGGTGATTTTGCCATTTGGTTTTTACACATGCAGCAATGGGGTGTATGGCAGCCTGAACAATGAGGAGTAAAACCAATGTCCGGAAAACACAAGGTTTAAAGAATGAAAAATGAAAAGCATATACTGTAAGTGTGTGGAAAAAAAGCTCTTCAGTGGCATTAACTTTCTCATCTCTTGTTCTAAAAAACGTTTTACTGCATGGCCATTAGAGTCTGTATCTCTAACAGTTTTCTCAGGTCTGGTAATCTACCTACAATTTCAGTCCACTAGATGGAGATGGAAGAATGAAAAATAATTCGACCTGT